CCCTCCAGCCCTGGCCGTGTGACAGCCTGGGGAGCAGCCACCCAGGAGGGGATGGGAGCAGGCGCTGTCCAGGCGGGAGGCCTGATGGCTGGCTGCGGCAGAGCTGCCTTGGCGCCAGTGGGGGCCGGGAAGGAGGCTCCCGTGCATCACTAGGGTGTAGGGTGGCTCAGCGCCAGCAGGCGTCTGGCAAGGGACAGTGCCAGTCGGTCACAGCAAGGTTAGCAGGTGAGCAGTGAGAAGGAAACTGAAGGGCTGCGTCAGTGGGACAGGAGACGTGAACCCAGCCAGATAGTGGAGGGAAACCCCGAGGACCCAGCGCGAAGGCGTTCTAGGAAGGTCTAAGTCCGGAGGTGTGGGATGGGGTGAAAGCACCCTCCCTGGTACTTTTTTTTTTTTTTTTTTTTTTTTGCGGAACCGGGGATTGAACTCAGGCCCTTGCACTTGCCAGGGAAGCACTTATTCCACTGAGCCATCTCCCTGGTCCCTATACCTGGTACATTCTTCCCTGCAGGCTTTGTCGTCAAGGTCCCTCATTCCCTGGCCCACTGTGCCCGCCTTGTTGGTTCCAGGCACTACCTGCCAGCAAGCACCCTGACTTCTGCCTACTTCCCAGGGTCCCACAGCACCTGCTTCCATCCCATGACAGATGGCCCTGGGGATTGGGGACAGAATGGGTTGAGGTCAGCCTGGGGGAGGACAAGTGGGGGCCTGGTGGCTCAGCCCCCACCCCCACTACAAGGTGTAATGGAACCCACCGGTCCTGCCCTGCTGGTGTCTTCCCCGGGAGCTAGAATCAGTCAGCAAGATGAAGAGATTAGGCTGAGGCAGGAAAGTACTCTTATCTTACCCTGCTTTCCCCTTTCAAACTACTGAGTTTCCTAGTTATTTAGCTAAACAGAAAATCTGATCAATCACTACACCCAGGCCCCCTCTGCTCCCTGCTGTGACTTGCAGTTGCCCAAAAGGCCTCTGGGAGCTTCGGTGACCGAACTGCAGGCATGGTGGCATCCCTGAAACCATGTCAAGAGCAGAGGGCCCTGAGCAGGTGAAACCCACACAGCACTGGGTTGGCTTTTCCATTGCAGGTGAGGTACACAGAAAACCCAGCTGGCACTGGTCCTGAGCATGACACACGCCTGTTACAGAGTTTGTTACCTCAGGAGCAACTTTGCTTCTTCCTCTGCAAGAGGAACCCAAGCTGGGTCAGCTCTGAGAGTAGTCTCCCAGCGGCCCCTTCCCCTCCAATTCTTCCTGACATCACCTAACTTGTATGTGATGGGGTTGGGGGGCTGCTGCCAAGCTCTGTGGAAATCTGCTCCCTCCTCCCTGCAGACCCGCTCCTGCGGCTTGGGCTCACTGGGTCACATCTACTTCTTCCTGCGGGCTGCTGTCCCATGATCCTGGCTAAAGCTTGCCCAGGCTGGGCTCAACAGCTGCCCTATCCAGGTGCCAGATAGGCGGGGAAGCTCAGGGCACAGGAAGTGTTGGGAGACAGGAAAGCTTTGCATAGACAGGGACGACCAAGCTCTTCCTGGCATCTGGACAAGCACCAGCCCTAAGGGGTACTCCCCACTATTTCTAAGGATTGGGTCATCCGGGTGCAGTGGCACGTGCCTGTGATCCCAGCGCTCAGGAGACAGAGGGGGGAGCACTGCCATGAGCTCCAGGCCAGCCTGGGCTACACAGTGGGTCCAAAGCCAGCCTGGACTACATAGCAAGACCCTGTTTCCAAAAAAAGGGCCAGGTCAGCATCAGCCAGGAGACCTGGCGCCACCACACGTGCCTCGGCTCACTGAGCCCTGGGACACACGGGCGCATGGGCAGCACCCGTCACACGGCCATCAGCTCCCCGGAACACCATCCTGCAGGATGCCTCTGGAGCCCTGGGCATGGGCTGGTTCTGGTCCTGAGGCCAGCAGGGACCAGCCAGGCTGTGACCCTATCCCCTCCCATCTTCCCGCGACTTGACAGGCCACACAGCACAGGACTTTCCAGAAAATAAGGTTTTATTGTCTTGGAGGCAAATATAGTTTTGAAACTGCATTGTAGTGTTGAGTCCAGCTGGTGGCAACCTGCTTCCCCAAAGCAGTGTGACAGGGGCCATGCTAGGTGACACATGCTGGGGCACCTTGGTAACAGCCAACCCTTCTGTTTGGTTTTCAGACCTCCAGGTGTCACAAAAGGAGCCCATAGTCAACCAAAGCTCACAACAGGAAAAAATAGCCATGTACACATAATTGTACCTGAAAAGGGGAACAGACGGGCCAGTGGCGGCTTCACAAACGGCGGCCTGCTCCCCCTCCCTGGCCGTGGGACTCAGATGGCGCCTGGAGAAAGGGTCCTGCCACCTCCCCTGGGCTGCACCCCTTGACACACATGACAGAAATGTGTAACATGCCTCTCTCTCCTCAGCCCCACGACCGCAGTGCTCGAGAACACCCGAGCTGCACCCAAGTCCCGCAGGAACTGCCCAGGCCCACTGCCAAACCCAAGTGTGCCAGGGAGATGGTGGTGAATTTTGCTAAGTAAGTGAAAAAAACTTTATAAAAAATAAAATTCCACAAACACACACACAGCTTTGTGGCTGTGCACACATACAAGGTGACATTCAACATGAGAAGCTCCCTTTTATCTGGAACACGGGGCTTCCCGAGCAGGACAAGCAGAGCTGAACATTGGTGGTGGACAGGTCCTTGCCCCCCAGGGCCCAGGGGTGACCCGATGTCCGCGCTCCCTCACACTTGCTAGTGTGTGCCGAGCATCCAGGGAAATCCTGCGAGGCGGCAGAGCGCCACAGCCGCGCCCCTCTGCAGTGTCTGAGCCGCTGCCTATGCCGGCGCTGCCTAGCAAGGCCACCAGGAAACACTGCACGCAGCACAAGATCTGTGCCAACGCTCCCAGGGGCACGACTATCTCAGAAAAGGCACGGGGATGGCGGGGGGCCTTGGCTGAGGAACGGAGCTCTTTGAGGACCAGATGAGGCTCAAAGAAGGGGGTGTGAGTGGGGGGAGGCCGCCCTAGCCTGCGGCAGACGGCAGAGCAGGCGGAGTGTGGCTGAGTGGAGCTCAGCCTGCCTCTGAGGCGGGCCCACGCTGGCACTGCCTTCCTGTCCTGGGCAGGGAGCAGCGTGGACACTGCCCAGGGCACAGTGCCATGTTCTCTGAGAATCCAAGTGGCTAACCTCTCTCTCGTTCAGAGCAAGAAGCTGTCAACGTGGAGCCCTAGGACGGTGAGTCAGGCCCCCAGCACAGGGACAAGGAGGCGGTGGTCTCTGAGTGACGACCAAAGCCACTCCCATAGGTGGCTAGGGATGCAGACGGGGCGAGCGCAGAGCCCAGCATGCATCAGTGCCGACACCGGAGGCTGCGCTGCTTCTTGGTGCCACCTCACAGAAAGCTCAGCAAGAAACCCTGGGCCACAAGTCTGCACCGCTGCGCCTCCCACTCATAGTGAAAGAGCTGTCGGTGATGGCCCCCCGAGATTTCACAGAAACGCGAGCTCCACGCGGGCCTGGCTCCTGTCTTCGCAGGCCATGTTCTCATGCGTGCATGCAAGTGGACAAGGACGGGAGTGCAATGAGTGTAAACGGACCAGGCATGGCATGGCTCAGTGTCCAGAGCAGGGCCACGGCACGGTGACTCACTGTCCCTGGACGCTGACCCAGGAGCCAGGACAGAGGTCAAGGCAGGCAAGAAATGATCGCATGGGGGGGAACAGTGTGGTTCCCCACTGCCACAGCGACCGTAAGCACCAAGAGAAATAATCTAAGTTATCTTGAAAACAGAAACACACCTAGGTCATCCTGCCAGGACACACACACACACACACACACACACACACACCCATCTCACACACCCTACCAGCCTTAAATATCTGAGGAAAACAGAACCACAAACATTAATTCAGCAAAAGGGAGAGGTAGGCCAAGGAGCAACAGGCTGATTTTATATCCCACAGAGTTTAAGAAACTGCTTCTCCCAGCAAGGCAGGAAAAAGCTATCAGGAGAGCCCCGGCCAGCAGCTACTGCGGCATCGGTACGGCACAAGGCACAGGGGTGGGAAGCCCTGGGCTCAGGCCCTCAGTGACATTTGGTTTTTCCTTTTCCTTCTGACCATAGTGGGCCTCTGACCACAGTGGCCTTGACCTCCTCCAAGGGGGCTTCATGTTTGTCCTTGGGTAAGGGATCAACTCTACTGCCACTTCCCAGTGGAAGTCCCAAGGCCCGTGTCCTGTGGCACCCCTCAGCCTGTAAACACGTTTTCAGAGGTGGCTGAGGGGTGCCACCAAGCTGCTCCCTTGTGGGGCAGAAGTGAAGGGCCACAGTCAACACGGTGGCTCTGCTGGTGGGCCAGAGATGCCACCCTGCCTTCCTGTCCTCCACAGTGCTGGGCCCTCCAGAAGCCAGTGGGGCTCTTGGACCAGAACTTCCGGAGTGGCCTGGTCCTTGTCACACGACACCCTCAGGACACTGAGCACAGGCAGGAGGTGCAGCGTGGCAAGGACAGTGAGTGGGGCAGTGGTCGGCTGCTGGGCCATGCAGCAGGATGGAGGAGGCACCCTTGGCTGGGCTCCCTGAGTGCGGAGCAGGCCCCTGCTGCCTGCAGGCACTGGCAGACGCGGCCAGCACGAGCAGGTCCGGCCCCTTCTGTGTCCCCTTGTGGCATACGCACATGGGCCGAGCTCTGCGTGGGCTTCACTGTCTGCCTGGAAGCCCCCTCGGTTTTGCCTGTCAGCATGGTGACATCTTTGATCCCCTGGCCTGGGGCTCCCAACTGAATGAAACAGACAAGACGACGAGGCCGAGGGTGGCAACACGGAATGTAACCTTCCGAAGCCAGGACTTAGGTAAACTTGTCCCCAGAGGAGGCTGCAGTGTGGCAGCAGCAGAGCCCAAGAGCCACAGGGCCTGAGATGCGGCCTGGCAGCCCCAGCCGGGGAGAACCTCTCCAGCACACCGTGCTGCAGCCTAAAGAGAAGCCCTGGCCCTCACCTCGGGTGGAAGATACCTAGCCAGGCCCTTGGCAGCCAGAGCGTGTACAGTGGCACTGGGAGGGCCCGAGTGGGCAAGGGTGTGACAGGGACAAGTCTGTGAGTCTCAGGACGGGACTGACAGGGACCCTGGACGCCCCGCCCGCAGCAGGCTCTGCTTCTTCATCCCACCTGCTCCCTCCCTGGCCTGGCCCCACCGCCCACAGCAGCACAGGAGAGCAGGGCCAAAGTGCTTCCCTGCAGGGAGCGGGGGCGGAGGCTGAGGTTGCCCTGTGAGCGCACAGCAAGGTCCTCGCGAGGGCTGCTGCTGCAGGCAGGCCCCGGGCCTGCTTCAGACCTGAGTGTGGATCCCAACGGCTCACGGCCACAAGGAGAAGAGACCCAAGGCTGGGTGCAGGAAGGCATGGAGGGGTCTTGATCCTCTTGCGGCCACGGGCCAGTCACACAGCTAGGACTCCCCCGATCGCAGGCCACCCCTGGTGACAGCCTCAGACGCCTGCTCTGGCAGCCGGGAGGGGTCCGTCAGGATGGAGGTGGTGGTGCTCAGCTGCCGGAGGGTGCTCAGCACCACTGCAAGACAGAGGGTGGTCAGTGGGGCCAGCGGGACATAGAGGGTGGGCATCAGCACAGCCCCAGAGCCCAGGTGTGGGAGGCCCCCAGTGGAGAGCAGGCCCCTCACACTTCCAGGAGGCAGCTCCACAAGTCCTACAAGCTACCACACCCAGCTCCTGCCCCGGGCCTGCTGCTGCACGGTCTGCACGCCTCACTCAGCCCTCTTTGGGGACAGGGTGTTAACTATCAACAGAATGGACCTTGGAGCTCCAGTGCTTGGTGAGGTGGCATCTGACCAGATGGGTGGCACCATGGCAGGGAGCCCAGAGCTGGACTTACTCGGCCTGAGGACAGGCAGGGAGCAGTGCTGGTCCAGCCAGGACAGCGCTGTGCGGTGCAGCTCCTCCAGACTGCTGGTGGACACCATGCCCTTGAAGGACTCGAACAGGGGCTTGATGATGATGCTGAACTGCAGGCCTTGGTTAAGGAAGAGCGGAGCGAGGGCTTGGGCTGCGGGGCTGAGTGGGAGGGTCCTTCCTAGGCCCCTGAGCAGCAGGTGCTGCGCTCCAGCTAGGACCAGCACCCAGAGGGCAGGAGCTAGGACCAGGGTCTTGTGTCTGCAAATGGTGTGCACCCCTCTTTTTATGTGAGACCGGGGGCACACACAGGTCCAAAGGAGAAGCCACCTCGAGGCAGATGTCTTTCCTGCTACTGCAGCTGTGCCTAGGTCCCTACGGCCAGTGCAGGGCTCAGTCACCTCAGGAGGCGGGGCTGGCACACCCTGGGTTCTTCTCAGACTCCACTGTCCACACCCCTGCTCAGCATGGGGGTCAGGAATGTGCCACCTGCTCTATTACAGCAGGCGAGACACGGGCCCATCGCCCTGCTCCAGCAGACACTGCGGCTGCACCTCCAGCATGGGCCCGCCATGGCCAACCTGTGCTGAGAGGCCACCACCCATGTGGGCACTGGCCCTGGAAGGCTGTCCCAGCACTGCAGCCCAGGATGCACCCGTGGTGCTGGAGGGACTGGACTCCTATGGCAGTGTGCACCTTGCTCTCTGCCTGTCACAGGTGCGGGTCGCTCGCCCAGTGCAGCAGGGCCGGACCGGCGGCTGACGGGCCATCGGACTCCCTCGCCCACCCCACTTCCTCTGCTGTGGCTCTTGCACCGCCTACCACTTGGCCTCCCTGGCTCCTCCTGCAAAGCCCCTGGGAAGACCTGTGGACACAGCTGCAACCACAGCCCACCACAGCGCCTGGCCAGAGCCCCTCTCTGAGACAAAGGTCCCCCATCTATCCTGACCAGGACGACCACGTGCAGAGTGCCTTTGCAGCACTCCCACTGCCCCCAGGCCCACTGCCCCCAGGCACTGTCTGTGAGAGGGAAGGACAAGGAAATGGCAAAGATACAATCCAGAACTTCCAATTCTGCAGGGTCCGGCTTTTCACGTACTCATCGAACATGTCTCTCATGTGATCAACCTGGCGTGGGGTGACAGAGACCCCTGTGGCGGGAAGTAGCTGCTGGCAGGAGCTGAAATGACACAGGGAGTCAGGGAACAACTGGGAAGCTGAGGGCAGAGCAGCCGGTCACCAGCTGGCAGGGCTGGCTGTCTGCAGTCAGCACCAGCATGCGCAGAGGCTGCAGCAGGGTGGAGGGCCCACGGTTCCGGGACACAGGCCTCACATGATGGTGGCGTTGAGCTCCTCAATCTCCTCCCGTAGGCGCCTGGCCTCCTCCTGCATTTGGCTCCGCTCCTGCTGCAGCTTGGTGATGTACTCCATGGTCTTCTGCAGTGTGATAGCGTGGCTGCTCTGCGGGGACAGGCCGCTCAGCGTGGCCCGGGAGGCATCCCGCCAGCCCCTCTGACATGCTCCGGTGACTCACCGGCTTGGAGTTATTGGAAATCAGACTGTTGAGGGTGTTGAAGCCCATCTTGATGTTGAAGCGTCGCTTCTGCTCAGCTGAGATGTGCTTCAGCTGCTGGTTCTGTTGGGGAACCAACCTGTCACCGGGACAGAGGGCCCAGGCCCCAAGCTCCTGCCTGCTTACCACCCTGCCTGATGCTGATCAGCTGTAGGCAGACCAGCCCCGGGGTGTGGGGCAGGTGGGCTGAGAGGGCGGGAGGCAGCGAGGACCCTAAAGAGCTTAAAGAAAGCCAGGTATGGGGGCAGGAGGATTCCAAACTTGAGACCAGCCTGACCAACTGAGACCCTGTCTCAAAAAATAAAAAGGGCTGCAGATGTAGCTCAGCGGCAGAACGCTTGCGTGTGAGGTATGTGGGAAGCCTGTGAGCCCTGACACTGCCTCCTCTCGGGCCTGGGCACAGCCGCCACCTCCTCCCTGGTATGTGTGGGGGCACAGGGGCTGAGGGCTCAGGATGGCAATCCACTGAGATGGCAGGCAAGGGCCAGTCTGACGTTGCATGGCTGCTGCCACCCAGGCAGGGGACACTGGCCAACTCTGCTCTCCCTTCCAGATAACACAGGTGCCCTAGAGCTTCTCTGACTCCTCTTCCCACCCGATCCTGCCCAGAGACCCGGCACACCTTTAGCGCAGCCATATTTTTGGGGTTTGTGGATTTCCCTGAGCAGCTGTTCTGGGGAGACTGAGGGCTTGGGCTTTGCTCTGAGGCGCACGGAGAGGCCTGTCCTGAGTTCGGGCCATCACGACCTGAGGAGAAGAGGAGGCAAGTGACAGGCAAGTAGGAGGCGGCCTAGTGGCCCTCACCAATGGGGGACTAGGGGGTAGGACTCCAAAGCCTGTTTTTAAGTTCTGAGTGCATTCCAGGGCCTTCTCAAAGGGACACAAAACACACGACGGGCAATCAGCCATGTGGCAGTGGCAGCAGCTGGGCTCTGCCATCCCAGGTTCAGAGAGGCCCTGAGATGTCACTGGAGGCAGCCAGGGCCAGTGGAGCGATCCGGAGCCACCAGTCCCCACCCTTGCGCTGGGCACACTGGTACCTGTTCTTTGAGTCCCACACATACGCTTTCTTACACTTCTGTTTTACCCACTCCCTGACAATTTTATTTAAAACCACACTGCCCTCTGACCCACACAGGCTGTGACAGAGCAGCCCTGTGGCCTCCGTGGGGCCAGTGTCTTCAAGAGGCCCACTTTCCCGTCGCCAGCTCTCTCTACCAGACTTGTTCTGCAAACTGTCAGCCCTCATGGCGCAGCTGTGAAGCCCACGCTTGGCTACACAGAGACCAGCCAGGCGGCCCAGACCTTTCCCTGGCTTCCTGCAGGGAACTGACTCGGGGACATCTATCCAGAATGGACCATCCCTGTTCTCCAGGGCTGCCTCTGACCAGCGCAGCCCTCTTGGAGAGCCCCTTTCTCTGGGGTTGGCATTCACCAGATCACTGCTCCTGCAGGTGCCACTGGGCAAAGCCAGGGCCACCTGCCTGTCTCTGCAGCCGGCGGCAGAGTACGCCACACACTGGGACGCACTCAGATGGGGCTGCTGGTTCCCATGGGTGCCACAGCCCCCAGCTGGTGCTTTCTAGCAACTGCGCGCAAGGACTCTTCAATCCCTTCTGATGCCTCGATGAATAACAGGTTGAATGGCTTCCCAAGAGCCAGGCGGGTGGCGCACAGCTGTAATCCCAGTATTGGAGAGACTGAAACAGGAGACTGCCACAAGTTCGAGGCCAGCCTGGACTACATAGCCAGACCCTGTCTCATAAAACCAAAACAATAAAAAAAAAAAAAAGAGTGGCTTCCGAGTACCAGGTGCCTAACTGTGGTGCCCACGGCAGTGCTGCAGCCATCCTGCCATACGTGGAAATGCCACGGGCTGACCGTGTGTCCTGCAGTCGTGGGGCCTGGTACCCTCCTACCCTGACTGCAGTGACACTCACCAGGCCCTACAGCCGGGACCTGGGGGCTGCCCCCTCGGAGTGGGGCCTGCTCCACCTTCACCAGCGAGTCCTGCACCATGCCCGGAGAGAAGAGCCGGGAGACAGGGGCCGGCTGGCCACTTGTGCTGTGGCCGAGGTCTGTCACCAGGATGCCACTGTGGAACTCGGTGACTCCGGGAGCCTGCGGTGCCACAGGAAAGAAGTTGTCCATCTGCTGATGCACAGCAGAGCTGACCAGTCACACTGGGGAGGGCCACCCAAGTGCAGGCCGACCTGGGGTAAAAGGGACAGCTCGGGTCTGCTAGGCCCCCTCACCCTGGGAATGGTAGCAGGTGCAATGACCAGGCCAGGCTGGGACACCGTAGATGCCAGCATCCCTTCTCTCTTGAGAGGGCCAGACGTCATGATCACTGCTTGTGGCTGGCCTGGGAAGGCAGATACCAGGGCGAGGAGAAGGTGAAGTCAGGCCTGAGCCCGCAGGGCCAGGTGGCTCCCAAGCCAGAAGCGAGGCTGAAAACTGTGGGGCCCAGGGCAGTCAGTGGGCGCCCTATTCCATCCCCCGGGGACAGGGAGAAAGAGCCTCCAGGCCATGAAACTTTGCTTTGTGACTTCTTGAAGCAGACACATTAGAGACTCCAGAGGGCGTACCAGAGCCCTATTTTCAAACTGTGGGTCATGATTAAGTTTTAAAAGGTACCAAACAGAAAACAAAATGGATCTCACGTGTGGATTACCCATGACAAATCTGACAGCCTTTGGGGCAGGCACACAGGCTTCCTGGGGGCCCCAGACTGGCAGGTACCCTCTGGACTCACCTGGGGCCAGGTGCGTGCTCTTCAGCACCAGGGACACGGGCTCAGGTTTGGGGGCAGGCACTATCTTGAGGGGCTGCTTCGGCCTCCCGCCAGTCAAGGACACAGGTTTGGGGTGTACAAAAGTTAAGCGAGTCTGGGGAGACGCAACAACTGGAGGCTGGGGGACCGGTGACAGGGTGAGGGCACAGGGTGATGGTGATGGCGGGGGATGGGGGCCTGTGAGCACGAGGCCCTGGCTCTGGCTGAAGGTGGTGGCGGCAGCAGCATGGGTGAGGGTGGCAGAGGCTGTGTGGGTGATGACAGGTGGAGGCTTGCTGATCCCCCCAAACCTTGGCAACTGCTGGAAAGTAGCAGGGCCAGGGGGCGACAGAGCAGGGCCAGGAGGGGCCACAGAGGGTAATGTGGGCGGGCCTGGGGCTTGGGCAGGGCCAGAGGGGAGCAAGGGCATGGGGAAGACGGGCAGGAAGGGCTGTGGGACCCCCAGTGGTGGCTCTGAAGGAGCGAAGTCTGAGGGCTGCAGGAAGGGGTCCCGGGCCTGCGAGGTGCGGTCACAGCCTGGGCCGGCCGTGGCTTCGAGGGAGGTGTCCGAGGAGGGCGCGATGAGGCTGTCAGGGAGGCTCACGGTGGGCAGCATAGCGGCCGGCAGGATGCTTTCCTGAGGGAGAAAGCATGAGAGCACAGGTTGCTGTCTCTGGCCACGAAGCCCAATGAAGGACCAAGAACAAGGGGCCGCGGGACCAAAATGCAGCACGACCCAGCAGGGAGACAGAGCTGCGCTCAGCACGGCCCAGCCTCCCAGGGCTGGGTGGCTGCCTGGGGAGTCCAGTTTCTCGTCCCTAGGAGCCCAGTCTCCAGATTGCTGTTATAGAGAGGCGGCTGGGCCCAGTTTCTCGCTAAGTGGGAAGTGCTACAAGGTCACAGATGGGGATCTCAGGCTCCAGGGATGCAGTCCTGCCTGAACCAGTGCAGGCAGTGGGGCCAGGTCACAGGGACTAAGTGAGCACAGCCCTGGCCCAGAGCAGAGAACTGAGCCCTGTCCTCTCTGCGCCTCTGGCATCAGTGCCAGCTTCTGTTGGCTGCTAAGCAAAAAGTGAAAGAAATATGCAGAACTTGTAGTGGCCCAGCTGTCGCTTCTGACTGGCTGACACGGTCACGCAGGGCCTCGGGCAGGAGCCCGTGGCCACACCTTGATGGACTTAAGAGTGCTCTGGAAGGGTGTGGTCTAATTTTTCACACATCATGCAGATGCTCAGTGCTAGACCTAGCAACGCCCCGCACACTGCTTGCAACCGCAGGGTGACGCTGCCAGCCTGGCTCTGGCAGCTAAGTCTGACGACGGCCCCGGCTGCTCCCTTCTGCTACCTGAGCAGGTGGGCTGTTGGCATCTGGCGCAGGTGCTGAGACTGAGGCGGGCGCAGATGACACAGAGCTGAAGATGCAGCGGCTGGCAGAGAAGAGGTCTAAAAAAGAACATGAGGTCTTTTGAGATCTCTCTGTTTCTCATTTCCTGGAATTAAGGTCCAAACCAACAGGAGACTAAACCACACTACCCGAGGGATGCCTTGGCCAAGGGCCTCACGGCACCCCTCAAGTAACTTTTTTCTGTAGAGAGAGGTGTCAGAGGGAAACATTCCCAGGTCCTGCCTGCGTTTCAGTAGCTCTGACAGTGGCAGAAGCAACTGCAGGAGCCTGCAGTGAGGTGACTGTGCTATCAGTGCCCCCTGCTGCTGAAAAGGAGAACAGCTCCCAGCTAGTTGCCCAGCAAGATCTGAGCCAGCCAGCACCAGCTTCCTTCAGAACACCACCTCAAGGAGGTTTCCCAGGCCTTCATGTCACTACAAAAAAGTTTAGTTCTGAAATGTTCTAAGCCCTCTATCTCACCCACCCTACCCGCTCTCCTTCACGCTGAGTCCCCTCTGCCGGTCCTCACCCTGGAAAGGCTCGAAGGTATCCATGAAGTCCAGGTTGGGCTGCAAAGGGATCAGGCCTGGCTGGATCATGTCTGCATTCCCCAGGTGTGCTGCAAGAGCCAGAGGAAGGGCGGATGGTCGCCCTCGCTGTCAGCCCTGCTCCAGCTCTAAACGCCTGGAGTTTCTTGGGGCCCGTGGCCACCCCGCATGGCTTGGGGTAGGATCTGGTTTTGCTGCCCAGCTCACCCTTTCACCTCAGCATCCTGAGTGACTGCAGGGGTGTGCCCAGCTGAACAGGAGAGAACGGCCGCCTGCGAGGCCCTCCACTGCCTCTCCCACACTGACTTCAAACCTGTGGGCTCCTCCCTGGGGGTTGACTGAAGCCTGAAGCCACAGGCAGACATGCCCACAAGGGCTTCGAGTTGTCAGAGCCACAAGGCCCCCACAAGGCCCTGCTGCATAGGCCTAGGCACTAGGGCGACAAGACTAGAAGCTGAGCCTGGTCTGGCCAGCCTTGACAGGGGTTCCTCAGTGACACCCAGAGTAGCAGGATCTGAAGTCCTGACCCCCCACGCAATGTAGGTGGCCCTCAGAGGTTGGCTGCCCCATCTCCTCTCTTTCTGGCCTAGATAAGCGATAGGCGGCAGCTCTGAAGCGAAGCCCAGCCTGCAGTGCCCAGGCAGGAGAGGCACCAGTTGTCTGGGCCCAGCTGGGTTACCTATTTCCCTCGGGTTGGGCCAGGCCACTGGCTGGTGTGAAGAAAGGGTGGAGAAGAGGGTGTCACTGAACTCCGACATGAGCATGTCTGTGTCCAGCAGTGGGTCCTCCTCCATGGGGACTGGAGTCTTCCAGCCATCGCCATGTTTGTGCCAGTAAAGCATGTCATCATCCTGTCACCAAAGGGAGATGAAGCATCAGAGGGCTGCAGCGGAACCTGGATCATTCCAGGGTTGCTGTGACAATGAGGCCAGTGGGTGCAGATGCTCAGAGAGCACACCCTGTAGGTCACGAGCAGAGAGTGCCACTGCTTCCTGAGCCACCCAGGACCTCCCCAGAAAGAAGAATGTCCCATCTCCTGTCCCACTACCCAAGCCACTGCTGTTCCTCAGCCAGGTGAGACCCCGGGCGTGCTCACCTGGGCCAGACTAGAGAGGTCTTCATCCTTGTGCTGCTGGAGCTGGGGACAAAGGGCGAGATGAGCAGGCACAAGTACCTGGGAGCTGTGAGGCCCACCGCCCTCTGGCAGACCCTGGCTTGCCACTCTGGGGGCATGGGGAGCAGGAGCTGCTTGCTGCCCTCCACAGGCTGCAAGCACAGAGGGGAGGTCTGGGGAGGAGACAAGCCTGTCTGGAGGAGGGAAACTGAGCCACAGCTCCGGGGACAGAGCTCGGAGCTCCCCCAGGGCTTCCCGAGCTCACAGATACCCTTTTCTTGAAGTAGGTTCTCCACTTGTGGTACTCCCTGATCACGACCTCGATGCGGCTCTTCCAGTACTTCCCCTCAGTGGTGATGGCCTATGACAGACAGGTCAGGCTGAAGGGAGGCAGGTGGGGAACCAGCAAACTCAGCCCCAGGACCCGGAAGCAGCAGGAGATGCCAGCAAAGTGGTGTCAGGAAGCCTCTGCACAGCTAAGCCCTCGCTCACAAAGCCTGTCCCATCTCCTGTGTTACAACTGGCCCTCCGCCTAAAAATGCATCATTTCAAGACTTGGGACGTCCAGGGTGGTGTGCACAGTGTGTGCGCGTGTATGAGTGTATGTCTTAGTTCTGACGCTCTGCACTGGGGCCTAAGGTCACTTCAGGGTGCTCAGCTGGGGGATGTCCTGGGGTGGGGGACACTACAGACATCAGTGGTGGCCCATATACCCGGTGACAGCCACCTCTGCAACGCTCCCCAAGGGTGAGCACAACGTGTACCCCAAGAGCATCAATCTTGCAGAGCCTTCCCACCTGGCGCCTGTCTTGCCTGCAGACCTGACGTCCCAGGTCACTTGACCTATAGGCACTTCACAGTGTGTCTGAGAACAGTGGAGGGTCAGTTCTTATTTTTCATTTTTTGGTACTAGGAATCCAATTCAGGACCTTGCAGTTGCCAAGCAGGCACTGTACCACTGAGTTATCACCTCTACCCAGGGGTCAGTTTTTAATCAGGATCCCCAGTACTACCAAAAGAAGAAAAAAAAAACAGTATTTATTTGGACTAGGATGCAGCTCTAGGTTTGATTCCTAGTACCGAAAAAACAAAAAACAAAAATAAAATTACAATATTTTCACCATCCTTAACAGAATTACATTCCCTGATTCTGTCAAATGCCAAGTTATATCTCAGAGGTGCAAAACTGTCTCATGAGGTTACTTTAAAGTTTCTTCCCCTTTTATCTTAACAACAGGACAGGGTTGGACAAATGTGAAACAATGCAGAGGGTGTGACTGGGGTCTCCTCTCCTGAAAGGACCCACTGGTAGGATTTATCTTCAGAGGCATTTCCTATACACCTAAGATTGAGATACAGATTTCTTCCTTTTTTTAACGCATTTCGTAAGGTGCAACATGTGGTACCAGGGACTGAACCCCGGTCCCTGTGCTTGCTGCCTAAGCAGGTTCTTAGTCCACTGAGCTATCTCGGTACACATTTCTAAAAAGAATATGCAAGTACTTAAAGTAGAGCCATATAGCTGTTTTTGTTTCACTTTTAGTACTGGAGACTGAACCCAAGGCCTTGATTTTAGACTGACTTACATTATCAGACCTTTCTTCTTTTTTTAAAACTTTTGAGACAGGCTGGGTTTGAACTTGTGATCCTCTTGCCTCAGCTTCCTAGAGTACTAGGATTATAGGCATGCAACACCAGACCTGGCTAGTAACTGGCTTTTAAAAATTTATTCTTTCTTTAACCCTTTTCCATCTCAGTGCCTATAGATCTCAAGGTCTCTTGAAGCAAAATGTGGTGGTGCACACCTATAATCCCAGCACCCAGGAGGCTGAAGCAGAAGAGCTGCAAGTTTGAGGCCCATCTATATAACATAAGGAAACACTGCCTCAGAAAGAAAGAAAGAAAGAAAGAAAGAAAGAAAGAAAGAAAGAAAGAAAGAAGAGAGACAGAAAAAAAGAAAAAAAATTCTAGTCATACGCCCTCCAAGAGATAGGTTTCCTCAGGACGGCCCCAGAGAATAGACCAATTTCTAGTGAGAGCAGAGGGGCCAGGGGTCACCCAGGGCGGCACACTTGCCACCTAGCATGCACCAGGCCCTGGGCTAGATGCCCAGGACCAGAACTAAAGCAAAAGAAAGGAGAGGCTCCACTGGGTCAGCCGGCTTGAGAAGAGGGTCCCTTCCCAGGGTCACAGAGCCAGCCCCTCAGCGCAGGCCCTCCCTCCTGCGCGAGGCTAAGGGGATTTTCCCCCCCAAGCCCTGTGCCTGTGGCAAGTACCTCTGGCCTGCGGTGCTCATCTACTTCCACAGAGCCGTCCAGCGGGGTGACAAAGTGGCACACAGGGTTTTTCCGCTTCTCCAGATCTGGGGAGGAGACGTTACCGTCACCACCCTGAGAACCCTGCCCAGCTGGGTGTCTTCTGGCTCAGGGGAGCAGAGGCAGCCGGGCTATTCCCAAGCATCTGCTCGCGGGGCCTGCTCTGCTCCAGTCCGGGGCCAGCCTCCCCCATCTGAGCTGGTGGGGGGCAGGACACAGCGAGTACCCCAAGACCACTGTCGCTGTCCAGCTGTCCATACTCCTCCTCTGAGATGAGCACCCGCACCACTGGGCACTCCGCCCCTCCTCCTGCAGCAGGCTCTGTACTGGGCCAAGGAGCACTCAGGTCCCTGGGATACTGCAACAGCCCTCTGGGGGGCTCAGGTGCTTACACTGCATGTACCACGCCCGCCAGATGGCGTTGTTGAGCCGGATCTTGTCCCTCCACTGGAGCTTCAGGCCCTTGAAGTTCTTCCACTTCGGAGACACCAACTTTCCACTGGAAGGCAAGACAGCTTCGGTGAGATTCAGTGCTTCTCTGGAACACAATGCAGAATTAAAGCTCTTGACCAGCTGACCCCTCACCAGCCACAGGTTAGGCTGGACTGAGGCCCGCATCACGGCACTCAGATTTCCTGTGTGGGAGTGGGGTCAGGCAGGTGGGACACCCCTGCTGCCAATGTGGCGCTCTGCCCAGGTCCTAGCCTCCTGGCTACTCTCCTTGCTTGTAAAGTTTCCATAATTAAGCATTCAAAAGAAATCTGCCGTCGACCAGAAGAGTAGGAGGCTGCTGTCTCAAGCCACGCAGGAAGCTAATGCCTGACCATGCCTGCAGCAGCCCTGGCACAGCAGCGGGAAACCCGAAGGCCCCAGAGGGCAGGGCTTGCGGGAACCTGGCGGGCAAGTGCCTCTAACCTGCTCTGGGGAAGAACAGGGCACCCAGGCAGGCGGCACACACCCACGGTCCCAGCTGCCAGGCTGAGCCAGGAGGATCAGCAAGCAGGCCAACTGGGTGGGTCAGTGTGACTCTGTCTCACAAGCCAGAAAGGGCTGTGGTATAACCCAGGGTGCCTGACCTGAGCCCCAGTACTGCGGGCAGGGTGCAGCACCGACAGCCCCGGCTCAGCAGGCCTCCTGCTCCAAGCCGACGAGCCTCGTTCTCGGGGCTGCTGCGGGCTCCTTGGAGACAGCACTTTCCAACACTGGGCTCCACAGCACTGGGAGGGCCCTGGGGTCTCCGCCACCTCGGGTCTCACTTGAGAGTCTTTCCCAGCTCTGCAGGCCAGGCAACAGCAGGAAGGGTGCTCCCTGGGGACATGGCCTTCTTGGAAGGTTCCATTTTCCAGAAGCCGTGCTGGGAGCCACCTCTGAACAGCTGGCTCAGGGATCCCTTTTTTCTAGTCATTGAGATGAGCAAGACAGTGGGTTTTTCTTATTTTATTTTTGTACTACCAGGAATTAAACCCAAGATTTTGAATTTTTAAAAAAAATTTTATTGGGGGGCCAGCTCAGCCCACCAGGGGGCGGGGCTGGCTGGCATGTGGTGCTGGGGGATTGAACCGCGGTCCCTGTGCTTTGCTAAGCTTGTTCTAAGTAGGTGCTTTAGACCACTGAGCCATCTCGCCAGCCCCAAACCCAAGATTTTGAACTGAGCCAAAACCAGCCCCCCCCCCCTTTTTAAGACAGTCTGGTTTAGTTTCCCATACTCAGGGTTAAACTTTCCATCTTCCTGCCTCAGCCTCCCAGAATCCTGGGATCACAGGCATGTACTGCCACGCTTGGCCATAGCACTACCTTTAGTCCATATCAAAGGGGAACTAGAGCTTTCACCTCCTGGCAGGCCAGAGCCCTGCCTCTTCTCCAAACCTACTAGGGAGGCCATATGGCAGGCAGAGATGCACCATGGCAAGCTGCTGGTGTCTCCAAGCAGTAAGCAGTGAGAGGATCTGAAAGCTTGGCTGGAAAGCACCTGGCACAACCTGCTCTGCTGACCCAAGCCAGCCAGGAGCCCCCGCGTTGGATTGTGCTGTCCAAACAGCTGGGGCACCACTGCCACCTCTCAGCAGCTTCCAACTATGTGGTCAGAAGCCTCTGAAGAGTCACGTTCCCACCTGCCTCCAGCACCACCCTCGGCCAACTCCACATAACAGGCCAACCTGTTAACCAACCCTGCTCACGGTACCTCAGAGCACTTCTGCCAGCACGCTGCTGCCTGGGTAAAGTCACAATGCTGCCATGTCTTAATAAGGACCAAATGAGATTGTGTGTGTGTGCGCGCGCGACACACAAAAATTCACACACACACAGCCCGACAAACCTAAGGCAAATGTAAAAAGATCTTAATAACCATTTTACTGCTCAGCCCTAAGTTATTCTTACAAGTTTGCTTCATGACAATCCTCCTAACTCGAGCAGTCCTTTGGCTCAAGCTGGCCACACTGTAATTTGGCAGGCTCTGCTGTACACACCTGGTGCCCTCCTCAGTCATAGACCAGATAGGTGCTGCACAAAGCCACACGCGGAAGCCCCGGAGCACCAGAGGCTCCTCATGGATTCTCAGTGATCCCTCCGCAGGTATCAGCATCTACCACACGCAGACAGACAAGGGGAGTGTACAGGCAGGGGTTGCGGCCGAGGTAGAAAAGGGCCAAGGCTTGGGGAGCCTGCGGGGTGACCTTGATCATCAGAGCAGCCTCGGAGGGCTCCTGCAGGAAGTGACATTTGAGCTGCACCCAGGGCAGGGAGCTAGGCTGCTCCAGCCGGGTACAGCACCGAGCGGGTTGGAGCAGGGCCTGGTCAGGGTATGGAAACCCGGGATACCAGACAGAGTACCAGAGACCGTCAGCTCCCACTGCAGACAAAGCCAGGACTCTTTCCTTGCCTGTGCAAGATCTGCCAGCAGCTGGATGCCTGGTGAGGCACATGATTTTCAGAAGCAAAAGAAAACAAAACCAGAGCCAGGCGTGGTAGCCCACACCCATAACTGCAGCACTTTGGGAGACTGTGGCAGGAGGGTTACAAATTTCAGCCCAGCCTTGGCAACTGTCTCAAAAATTAAAAATTAAAAAAAAGGACTGTGATATAATTTAGTGTGAAAGCCTTGGGTTCAATCCTCAGTTCAAAAAGAGAAGGGAAGGGGGGCCGGGGAGATGGCTCAGTGGAATAAGTACTTGTCTGGCAAGCGCAAGGGCCTGAGTTCAATCCCCGGTTCCACAAAGAAAAAGAAAAAGAAAAAGCCTTTAGGGGCTGGGGAGATGGCTCAGTGGGAATAAGCGCTTCCATGGCAAGGGCCTGAGTTTAATCCCCAGTTCCGCCCCCCCCCCCAAAAAAAAAGAGAAGGGAAGGGAGAGGGGAAAAAAAAAGAAAGAACAAAGAAAGAGAACTAAACCAGTCTGGTCCTTTTATTTCCTTTGGGAAAAACCAAAGCCCCAACTGAAGGCCTTTTCCTGTCCTTGACACCCATTCCTCACACTGAGCCAGGGAGGGTTCCCAGCAGCTCTCACTACCAGGTACTGGCCCCTGGGGTGGCTGCAGAAGACTACTTGGGCAGCTTGACAGACCAGCGTGCAGGGGTGACACGGTCAGTCACCAATGCCCTGCCACAATCTGTGCAGAACTAACCTCACACCCTGCTTTACCACTCCTGTATATTCAGGAACAGGTGGCCATGCGGCTTCCCTGCTTCCCACAGTCTGGCCAGGCACCCAGGGGAAAGGAGGAGAAGGAGAAAATCAACCCATGGGCTCGAAACCAAACTGGACAGGTCTTAGTGTGGGAGTTATGCGCTCTCCTAGCTGTGTGGAAACACCTCCTTCTTGTCCATGTTTATGTTACATACTCTCAAACTCTGGCAAATGTACTCAGGATTCCTGGACCTGGAAACTTCACCCTAGTTTCTGTAATATCCCCCACTGCCAACAGGCGGCGCTCTACAGACCAAGTAGGACCCAAAAGCAAAACCAAAGCCACCTGCGCACAGAAGTAAATGACTGCCATGGAGGTTCCATGACATCCTGTGTAACACAAGGGAGGATGGCCCTGACACACTGTGAAGGAAAGGCTGGGGATGAGTCTCACCTTTCTCCTGCTGTGCTCCTGGGCCTTCAAGTTGCTACTGTGCGGTGTCCATCTTGAGGGGGTAAGAGGCGACACTTTGGGTAGACACCACAGGAATCCTTTCACAGAGCTTCCCCATTCTCCTTGTGCACTAAATACTAGAAGGCTGACTTAGGTACGCGGAGGAACAGTCCGTGGCAGGGCAGGCAGAAGGCAGCAGCACACAGAGCCTCCCTTTCCCTTTTACCCCATCCAGGCTCCAGGCCTCCTTCCCATGTCCACACCCAGAACTATGCTGCACCAACCAGTGGACTGATTTAGTTATCACACACCCTGAATTTCACACTCCCCAGACCCAGCTACTTCTGAAAACCCCGACCTATGAGTGCATGAGGCTTAGGGGACATCCAGACACACAACGTAACAGAGGTACTGTGCTCAGGCTCCACAGGGAGCTGGCTGAGCCCAAGAGTAGAGTCCTGTCAGATGTCTCTGGCTGCATATTTATTTGCTCCCGCCCTGTCCACATAATGCTGATCAGGATGCTTTCTGGTCTAACCCATCCCTTCTTCAAAGTCTAACCAGAGGGAGGCCAGGGGTGTAGCTCAGCAGCACAACACTAGGTCCTGAATTTGATTCTTGGTACCCAGAGAAAGTGAAGGAAAAAAAGTGCAAGCAGAAACACTGGTGGAGTTCTGGACAGAGCCCAGGCTTTGGCCCATGCCCACAAGTCCTCTTCCAGCCTCTGCCTCCAGCCCTGCCTCCCCATGTCGTGTGGCTCCTCGGGTCAGAGCAGCCAGCACCCCTGCCCCACCAGCCCAGGGTCAGTCAGGATCCAGTCCAGGGCGCTTTGACATGCTCAAAAGAGCATTTTCCCTAGAAAGGAAGATGAGCAGCAGTTTTATAACAATCTAATAAATCTAGTGACTCTGTGATGAAACATTCAGACGTTCTCTACTTTTTAGTGTTTTTCGGCACCACTAGCACGAGCTGGCCCACGGGCAGTGGCTGAATGCAAGCCAGGTGTTTCCATGAAGAAGTGTGCCCAGCACCCTGCCGGTGACCACCCTTCCTAGAAGGCTGCTTGACACAAGACGGGACGCTCATGGGACAACAAAGCTCCCTTGGAACTTCTGGAGCTAGCAAACCATGAAATCTTCCAAGGTCTGGCAAGAGACTGCCTTGGAATAGAATGAGATTAACTTCAAGCCTCTCGAGGACTGAGCTTGAGGGCAAGGGAAACGGAGGCAGCCAGGGACATGCAGGCTGGAGTGGGTGGGGGATTCAGGTTCTGCTGGATCCAGTGGGCATTTTCTTCAAAAGGAAAGAGGCAGGAGAACGGGCCCGTGACGGGCCTCAGTCCATTCGTTTGTCCACTCAACCATATGTGTCACACACTGTTTCTACACTCTCCGGCACTGCAGGGCCGGCCCCGCCTCTGGC